ACTCTTGAATTATTGACTTACACCAGTGAGTATTGTGTTTTTTGTACCTTCGTAAAGCACACGGCCACGAAGGAGTAACACTATATGTAAATAGAGGACAGACATTCTGTTCCACGGACTCTCAGTTTAGTTACACCGGCAGCTTGAATAAACACATGGATAAGATATCATTGTTTTCTGTGGATTGTTAGGTCATGTTATAACGTCGTGATGCAACGTCTTTGTCGTACGTTGTTTCGTCATAAACAGTAAACATCATAGAGATGATGTTGACAACACTGTAAACAGAAACGACAGAGAAATGTGTAGTTCTAAATAGCATTTTCCCAATTTTATTCATCACAATTAGTTAGGGAGAGCTAAACCTTTCTGCGTTAAAAGGTAAGACGTTTCTTTTATGCTTCAGTTGTATTAGACTATGGTGTGGATTTATTTCATGGGCCGATCGCAAAAAACTGAATAAAGAAGAATATAAGTATTATTCCAAACATGCTAACAACGGACATTTGACCAAAACTATTTGCATTGTACATCTGTTATCTTACAATTTGTTGGACGTTGTTTATCGTTCAGGGAAATCATTTCCTTTTCTCATGCAAAATAAGCACTATTCAAATGAATGCATCATGGTAATATACAGTTTGGGTTTATTAAGTATTTCCAAATGGTTTTATTTCACGCTATTGAGGGAAAATGAAATGTTTTTTGTTTTTTTTTTTTAATGTTTTTTTTTTTTAATTTAGGGCGTAAGGTCTCAGCAGTGTGGTTAGCTTGAATTGGTTTAATTGGTGCACCGACTTTCAATTCCTCACAAATGATTGATTTTAGTGAAGGGTCCACCTCAAATATTCGATTGTTTTTCGCAAATGTAATATGTAATAGAGCAGTCGGAAAACACCTAACCACATGCCGATTTCAGGTTGGCACAAAAATGGCCCCTTTGTCCTGGTTTGTTAAAGGTGTCTGATCGCCAGGGCAAGCTAAACAGACTATCACATTATAGTAACTTAATCTCATAGTC